GAGGGCGGGGCGAGGGGCGTGGCCAGGCCGAGTGCAGGCAGGTGGGGCCAGGCTAGGGAAGGCGAGTGGCCAGACAGGCCAGGCAGCTAGCCCAGGCAGTCTGTGTATAGTGTCCCCACAGACACTTGGGTCCCTCATCCCTGGTCCCAGAAGGTCCCCTGGGCCTGATGGTGGAGGAGCGAGCACAGCTTCCTCCAGGGGTGAATGGCCCAGTCCCTGATGGGGGGGGGGGGCGGCGCCGGAGGGGCACCGACCCCAGCACAGGGTGTGGGGGCTGCACCCTCAGCAGACCCGGCCTCCACACTGCCCTGCACAGGGAGGGCACCTGAGGCTCCAGGAGGGTGGGCAGTGTGACCGCCCTGCCCCCAGGGCGCCCACCCGCCTGCACCCAGAGGCCACCCTCCCCAACCTGTGCTGGGGAGCACGCCCAGCATGGGCCGGCGGATCTGAAGAGGGTGGGGTGCAAGGACCTCACCGGTTGAGGTTCTGGAAGCGTTTCTGGTAGTTCTGCGCCCGGCAGACCTGGCCGGTGCTGCGGTCCTGGAGCTGGATGCCGTAGAAGGCCAGCATGAGCTCGTAGGCCTGGACCAGCCGCCTCCTGACCTCCTCGGAGCTCTTGAAGGCCTGGAGACGGCAGGCAGGAAGCCTGGGGGCCTTGCGGACTGGCCTGGCACCTCCCGTGGTCACCGGTGGCCAGCCGGGCAGCTGCCCTGGTCCAGGCTCGACTCCCAGTCAGAGGCCGTCAGGTCAAAAGGCCGCGGACCGGGACAGGCTGCAGCCCCCACCCCGGCCTGCAGGCTGAGGTGCCTCTGGGAACATGGGCGCCCTCACCACGGGGTGTAGGCGAGGCTGCCCTCAGCCCCCCCCCCGCGCTCTCCCCAGGGCACGCGGCCCTGGCCCTCGGGCCCAGCTCCCGGGCTCACCTCGACCTCTTGGCGTGTGAGGGGCTTGGCGTGCCAGTTCACTCCCGGCTCCCGCAGAGGGAACAGCCTGGGGAGAGGGGACAGCCGCGGAGCGCCCGCCCTCAGGCCCGCAGGCAGCCCTGCCTCTCTGGCGCCTCCCGCCCGCCCACGCCCGAGGGTGCCCTGGCTGTGTGGGCCCAACCACCTCGCCCCCGCCCACCTGGGAGGGTGGGGTGCCCGGCCGAGGCGCCTTGGGGGCCCTCACCACTGGATGTAGGAGTGGTCATCCTCCAGGCGGCTGTAGTCGTCCCTCCAGTGCTGGAGGAAGTCCTCGATGAGACAGCCTGGGGCCGGACGAGGCGCTGAGACCGGGCCACTGCAGCCCTGCCCGCTGCCCTCCCGTGGCCCCCAGGCCTAGCTCCCTCCTCAAGTGCCCCTCACTGCTGTGGCCACCCTGCCCCTCTTCGCTGCCCTCTGCTGGCGCAGGGCCAAACTCACACCCGCCTTTAGGAAGGGGCCTGGCCTCCCTTGGCTGCCTGGCCGCCGCTGTCCTCCAGCGGGCCTGCGGCAGCCCCAGAACCCAGGGGCCCTGCTGGGGGCCGCGTCCCTCCCCAACCAGCCCGGGGCCCGCAGTAGCCTCTGCTGCAGATGCCCAATGCAGTGCTGAGAATCCTCAGCACCACAGGCCACCACTGACCGCTGCTGCCCGGCGCGCCCCCAGCCACGCACCGTTGGGCAGGAAGCAGGTCTCATTCCTGTAGAAGCTCAGGTTGGGCATGTCCTCGTCGTCGCCGCCGCCATCCACCAGGTCCTGCCGCAGGGGGGGCGGCTGGGACACGCCCTCCCGGGCCGGGACACCCTCCCCTCCCTCAGGGGCACTGGGCTGGGAGAGCCCCTGTCTGTACCCCAAGGCAGCATGGAGTGCCCGAGACCCTTGGCACGGAGGGCAGGGCTGGGGCGGTCACCCCTTGTCAAGGCACAGGCACTAAGGTCAGGGCTGGGTGCTGTGCCCACCTCTGGCCCTCCACAGGGCCCACCCTGGTCACTACCAGCTTGGCAGCTGCCCTGGTCCAGTCTCCAACCCCCCCACAAAGCTGCCCAGGGTCAGCAGGCTGCAGGGTGCCGGGACGAGGTGCTGCCACGCAGTGTCCAGCTGGCTCCGGCAGCAGCGGGCAAGAGGGAGCAGCCGGCTGGGCGCCGGTTGCCAGGGCGCAGTGAGCCACGTACCGGGTAGTGGTGCCGGTACCTGCAGGTGTCCCGCACGGCTCGCCAGTTCCGGGTCCCCGTCGTCTTGGGCTGGGGGGAGGCAAGTGAGGTCCATGGAGCCCTCCCCAGTCCTGGGGTACGCCAGCAAGCCAGGCGCCCTCCGTGAGTCCCCACGCCGTCAGGGCGGTCAGCGCCGGCTGCGGCCAGCGAGACGGAGGGCCCGTCACAGCTCGCTCTCGGGCTGCAGCCTCGCTCAGCTCCTCTCGCTTCCATGGCCGCTGGCCCCCCTCGCAGTGAAGAGCACCCCAGCTGCCTGGTTTCCAAGCCAGGCTCCCGGCAAAGTCGGAGGGAAAAGGAAACTCAGAGGCAAGAGCCCCGCCCCCCCGGCCAGCCCCAGGCCATGGGCCCAGACCGGCCACACTGGCCCAGCTGGCGCGGAGCAGGGCACCCGGGCGGGCAGGCGGGCGGGCGGGAGGGCTTTGAGGCCGCGCAGGGAGGGGCGCGCCACAGGGGTCCCAGGAGCTGCGGGCCAGGGCGGGCGGTCCAGGTGTGGGCCTGCTTCAGGAGGGCCCTGGAGCAGTCCGCGGGCCCACACCCCCCTCCCCCTGGACTGCCCCTGGGCACCAGGCTGTGCGGCGGTCAGCAGCCCTGCAGGAAGGCCCAGGCCGCCCGGCCGGGGGCCCCGAGTGGGGTGTGGACGCCAGGGCAGGTCTCCACCCCAGGAGCAAGTGGAAGGTGCCCACTGGGGGTGGGGGGGTGGCACAGACTGGGGGGTCTCTGGCCCAGAGCCTGCGCGGGGCAGGCCAAGGTGCGCCCCAGGGGCCAGGCTGCGCCGCGGCGGGGGTCCAGGG